TCTTTCTTCATTCTCTAGAGGATGCATGTGAATAACTTTGTGGGATCCGAAAACCGCATCTTCGGGAAATGGCAAACTGATTTATGCACTTCCTGGTGTCCAGGAATTTCGATGGCGTACAAATGTTTGAAAGTAGTTAAAGAATCGGAACCTATTGGAGACGGCTTTCATGAGTTTGACTGAAGTTTTGCGTGTACTCACCCAATTTTATAGCATAGTTCTGTCTTGCAGGAAATATTATGAAACTCTATTCAACGCAGCGTAATTGTAGACTGGAAACAGTAGTTGGTTAGGAAAACTGCGTTTGCCAATTTTCCGCATCATGAGACTGTTAATCTCATTCGCTATTGTATCACAGGCAATGGAATGTCATCACCTATACTTGTTACTAACATGAGAGATTTTACCTTGACTTGTACAGTAAATATGAGATTCGGTTAGCAAGGAAAAGCATTCAAACAAAGTGAAAGTATTGTAGCTAGGAGCCCTTTTGGGTCACTGTTAGCAGATGCACTTATGTCTGAATTGGAGATACGCTGAGAAACTTACTGTCTTATGAACGCAATGTAGACGATACGTTTATTATTACTGACAGCAGTGAGTCGATTGAAAACTCCATTACTCCAATTAATAATATTCATCCAAATTTTCTAGTGACCTTAGAATTTGAACAGAATAACAAACTAGGTTTTCTGGATAGGAAGGACGACGGGAAAATTAAGCGATCTATATTTCGCAAGGAGACATGTAGTTGACAGTACCTTCATTCCAGCAGTTTTGTTCATATCCAGTTGAAATGTTCTCTAGTGAAATGTCTGTTTTCAAGGGTCCGTAGAACTTGCAGGAGCAACACACTGATGAATGAGCTACGGTGCGTACATTGCGTTTTATCGGCTATTGGTTATCCTGAATACTTCACCATATATCAAAGTAATGAGAGACTGCCCGTTGAAAAGACAGCTTTCGCATTGATGAAAGTATTCTTTATTAAATTACCAATCAAGAGTGACCAGATCATGCAATTTACAGCTGAGAGGTTTCGGTCACTTTTCAAGCGCACATTCTACGCTGTGTTTCCTTTCCTTACACCTTGAATACTTTCGATTCCTGTGCTTACGGTTAAAGGACGAAATCCTCTAGACTCTACTGCAGACTGTATCTACAAATCCTCCTGAAGTTGCAGTAAAACATATATAGATAGAACCAATAGAATGTTCGACTGTTGTTAAAAGAACATATTCCTAAATGCCTATTAAGTCACACAGAAAACACAAGTGTACTTAATCTGAAGAGAAATCAATCATCATCCTTCGCAAAGCACATATTAATATCAAGTCACAAAATCAATAATAAATGCTTCTCATTTTTTTCACATAAATATAACTAACGGTTATTAAAGGTGACGGAAGCACTTTGGACTAATCACATGCACGTACAGAAAAGCCTTTGCCTAATGTGGATCACTTGACCGACTAAAATAGGACTGGTTATAAGTATTTTTTGTTTTATATAATTGAGTAACTGTCATGGATTTTATTTTATTATTGTGAAACATGGCATTTGCAAAGCAGTCGTAAAGGAACTACGAAATGATATCGCCCCACGATATTTGTCTTCGTGGTGCCTTATCTAAAGAGACCGTGTTCAAGTATATCAGTCTCTTTGTCTGCTTTCCGGCATCGGCTTTTATTGCACATATTGTAGGAAGATGTTGTCTTGGTGATTATTTATTAATTCGGCCGACTTGTGGGTTAGTACTAGTACTGACCACCGATTACTTCTGACCCTCGGAGCCTAAGAAAATGAAGACAGAAGACTAACTTCTCCTTGCCGATGATAAGTAGTTCGATTTCACCGTGGAAAATTACATTAAATACAAATATCACGTACCTCAGAAAGTTAGGCCAGCGAACAGCCAATTGTGTAGCTTGCATAAAGCTGGGCTTCTTAATTCTCCAGTCGCATTATAATAAATATCCTGTTTCTGACTATTGGATTAAATTGTACATTTAAGATTAATCCTGTTAAATTCCATTTTAAGTGATATGGACCTGTTTAGGCTGGTCTTAGAAGCTTCCTATAAGAAGGCCTGATCGAAGTTAGGATGGATTCGTTTTCCAGGATTGCTCCTAGTGCTTGTTATTTCCCTTTATATGACTTTTCACGTTAACAGGCTACCAGTAGGAAATAATAATGACACACAACTATGCCTGGGAAACTAAGAACTTCGGACGTCATTCACTATGAGATGCTTGCAAGGGTATTCAAGACGGAAAACAGAACGAAGTTTGAGGAAACTAGTTACTGTGTGTGTCAAGTACCTATATTACATTCCATTTAGATAAGATCTCATTTTTCCGAATGCAATCCTTTTAAGTTGAGCGTCTGTGGCATAGCTGTTAGGACGCTCGCCGACAATGCATGTGATCCGGGGTTCGATCCCTGGCCAGCGCACTCCTTTACATCGCTAAGCCAGGAATAAAGCTGGTAAAGAGGAAAGGTTGGGCATGAGGCTAGCAACACCATCCTGTAAAAATAAACAAGCCTCTAGCTTGAAGCCCTATATTCCACTGGGAACGTGAAGGAAGAAAAAAATCCTTTGAAGTAAACTTTGCGAAATGCTTTTCAATGTAACGAATGAAGGAAAATTAATTAGGATGGAATGCAACATTATATCCCCAGAATAATATCCATAGATTCAGGTTAAATATAAAGGCAGACTGAGTTATCGTAAACTAACTTCTGATTGTTCTATCTTAAAATGATTCGTGCCAGTGATATATTAGCCGATAGCTTACTCAGCTTGTAAGTACTGATTACAAAATATGTAACAAGACTAAAATAGTAAGGAAAACGTTATGCAGAGCTACATGTTTACTAGTTTATAAGTTCCGGCTACTTAGGAAACATTCTTTTGATTTATCCGTTTCGAAATAGTTGAACTAAGAACCATGAAGGCGTGAGTTTTAGTATAAATGACTGCTGACTCTATCTGGGCGCCTGTTTTTTCAAAAAAGCCTCAGAGCAGCTTCATCACTGGAAAGCGCATAATCGGTTAATTTAGCCTATAGAGAAGGATATATTGTCAACTAACACATATGAAACAGTGACATGATAATACGCGTAACCAAGGTCCAGTTAGAAAGCCAAAACGGAACACCAGTTTTATTATCCAAAGCACTGAATATATATTTCGGCATCAGTAAAGTGTGTTTAACTAATTAGGGTTCTAATAGGAACAGCAGAATGTAACAGGGTAGTGAGCTAAATGTTAAGGATGCTTGACTGAGTACCTCTGGTCTAACCAGTGAACCTACATAGTGAAGGTCAACGTTAAATGTCGAATGATGTAAGCTGTGGGATTATAATTTTGGGGGAAATTATTCGCTGCCAAAGGCTAATATTTATTTATTCTAATCTGTTGAATACTCACCTTTTTTCTGTATTTTCTTGCCTGAAAAGTGCTGTACTGGTATTACAAAGGGATTCGTTACGTAATGTAATGGTTCATTTTTTCTGATTAAATGTTTCAGTCAGAATAATCTCTGCAATATGTATAGGGGTACAGTAAGTTACTACACTGTTTTACACGTAGTTTTGAATAGTTAACAACTTTATAAACCGCCAAAGCTGGACGTGGTTTGATGGCACTTGATGTTCAGTAGATTTCATCCAGAAAAAGATAAAAAATCTGCTGGTACTTGCATTTAATTCCGTTGGAAAAAATCCGTAGCTTATGTTTGGACAAGGATTGATGTTAGTCAGAGAACCAAGCAAATCTGTCCTGTAGCCATTCCCTAGTGAGGATCAGATCAGTCTTTAGGGGTTCAATTAGTTTCAAGCCAGATTATGGATTGACATTATTGATATTGTTACTAATAGTATTCGTGTTGGAAGAAGTTTCCTGGAGTTCTAGTGAGAATTCATCACGAGAGGGGTTCACCAGGTCAGGTGTTAGGCCAAGTGGTTTGATAGTCAACCAGCTTGACTTCTTAACCTGAAGACTCCCAAACCAGAACGAAACAGTCATTCACCACCACCTGATTCTCAATGGTTCTCTCACTGACATCAATCCGTGAACAAGGTTGTAACAAATCGATTTTATACAAAACAACTCTTAAAAATCTTTAGCCAAGAGGAATTTAAAAGCTGTGAATATAACAAATCTGCTTTCTTTTCCTTTTCTCTATAAGAATTATTATCATTTGTTTGTACAAAAACGACAAGCTTGTGTCTCAAAAGATGTATATACATATTTATGTCAGATTATAAAAAAAATATATGTCATTGAAATATACATAAAAACCTTTTACATTTCACTGATCCCCACAAATATTCTAAATGGATATTCACATATCGTTTGAATATATATATATATAAATCCTGAATCATTAATTTACTCTATCTTAGATATTGAAATTTGAATGTTTGTTTTTATTTATCTATGACAAATTCAAATAAAAAGTTTGTTTTGTTTTCAAAAAAACAATAAACAACTTCTAACAGTGATTTAACAAGTATTTGAAAGCCCCAGATATATACAAATATGAATTTGTTCATTGTTTGTCAAAGAGAGAAGTTTTACGGAGGGAAGTTGGAAGGGGAAAGATGAGATAGAGAGAAAGAGAGGGTGAATATATTTTACAGGATTATTATTGTACTTATTCACATTTCCATTTTTCAATCTTTGAGCAACTGAATACAAAATGAAATGGGTAGTAGTAGTAGTAGTATTATCTACGGTATAATAAAGTATGATATTACACTTCGATGTTTCATAAATCATGAGTAAAGAAGGATGATTAAATGAAGATATCACCTCTTATACTACTTATATTCTACTTATTTTTGGTTTTATTCCACATAAAATACTAATCAGAAAATATTCTATAATTTATAATAAAGTGACTATTTCATTAATTGTTTAAATGGAATTAAAGTTACCGCCTTGTGATGAATACATGATTGAAAATTGAATGAACAAACAACATCTTGATTGCTCAATCAATATGCGATATAGATGGATTTTTATGCAGTAATCTTTTGAATGGATTTGCTTTCGGTGTTTCTGGTGAAATTTGTCGTGAATTAGTTAAACTTTGACTACGGAAATCATGATTACGTGGAGGTAGTCGGAATGTAACAACACGATTCTCTGGTGAATAATTTGGTCGACCGTATTGATGTAAGCATGGACGTGAACTGGAGGAAATTGAAGAAATAATTGGTTTATGGATAGGCAGATCATCTTTAGAATTATGAAGACAACTGCTGTTGGTATAATTGTTATTATTATTATTGTTATTATTACCGCTATTACAGCAGCAACTACCACTATGAGTAGTCGAAGTGGAAGTAGGAGTAGTGGGAGTAGCAAAACCTGAAGATAATGCTGAAGCATTTCCATTGTCTAAAACAGAATGTGCAGATTTTAAGCGTTTATTATCTGAGCATTTAGTAATTACATTTGAACAAGATGATTCTTTTATAAAATATTTTGTAAATTCTGTAAAATCTTTTTGTATTCTGTCAATTTTCTGATTCATTTGACTAATTTCTGATTTAAGTAAGTCGATTTGACTTTGTGTTTGATGAAAGTGTACATCAAGTAGTGAGATAAGTTGTTCATTATTGTGACAGTTATTATGATTCATATCGAAGAATACAACATCATTGACTTGAGTGCAAGTTTTCTCTGGATAAAAGTACCCATTACTGATGTTATTGTTGTCATTATTAGGGGTAGTATTATATCTACAAAAGAATGTCAATATTAAATATAAATAAAATGGTAAGTTTCAAAGGAATGAAACGTGAAAAGTGTGAGGAATGTCTGACTAAATAATAAACCGTGGGAATTGATTGGTACTTGTCTGAATGAAAAGTATTATTACAGAAATATTATTGATTATGATAGTAGTAACCTGTGTAAAGATGAACATCAAGAGGAGAAGCCCCACTTAATCTACAATTAACTGAAAATCGAAGGGGAGAAGAGTGCTAGGAAAGACAAAAACACAACTCTACGACACAATGGTGGCTGAAGCAGAACAGTCTACAGGTTACATGGACCTCAGATCAGTGTACCAGGTGACAAGGTCGCTGTTTTGAAAATGACCTACACAGATGAAATCGATGAAAGTTAGCGAAGGAATCCTAGTTACCAAAGATATGGAACAAAGGCAGCAATGGGTCGATCATTTCACAGAACTCCTCAAAAGACCGCTACTCGCAACTCGTTCACAGATACCATCAAGAGCCACAGAACTGTCAGTATACAAAAAAACCATCAACAAAAATAGAAGTTACTGAAAACCATTCGGGAAGGCAGCAGAACCGGGCGGAGTCCATCCTGTAGCAATAAAAACGGACTCAATGACTGCAGCGGACATGTTTACGCCACTATTGCAAAGGGTCGGGAGGACGGGAAGGTACCTGCTGATTGGAGAAGAGTCCCAAACTAGGACGAAACAGTTGTCCAGTACTCCAAGGTTTTCCGGTGGTTCTCTAAATGATGTCAGCTCATGATGAAATCCATCATCCAATCAGACAAAATCCCTACAAAACCAATACTGGAAAATTAATTTGATGTTCACTAGCGACTGGCCTTATTCAGGCATTGACCTGGGGTTCATTTGGGAAGCCGTGACCAGTAGGGTACAGCAGGTTGAAGATGATGCAGTGACTCATCGAAGAAGGCATTGCTAAATGGTTGCGCTATGTCGTGAATTGGCAGAAATTAGAATTCATGGGTTGGCCATTGGATTGGGCCTCAGTGGCTCAATGGTCTACGAGCTTGTCTTGTAACCAGAAGATCCTGGGTTCTAACCCTGCACTGTGGATGCGTACTGATGAAGAATCCCGGACTAGTGGGACGAAACAGCTGTCCAACACTCCAAGGTTTTCAAGTGGTTCTCTAACCGATGTTAGCCCATGATCAAATCCCCCATCCAATCAAACAAAATCCCTACAAAACCAGTACTTGAAGTTTGAAGAAAACGCTACATTGTAAAACTATTATGGAAGGACTACTTAGACCTATGCAAGAGCTGGCGTGAAATCGTACTCCTGTGCACATCAAACAAAATATTATTTCGCATCTTCTCGGAGACAATAAAAGATGCACTAGATTCAGAACTGCGACTGGAACAAGATGGATTTAGGAAAAGCAAATCATGTGCAGATCAAATGGTAACTATATTCATCATTATCGAACAGAGCATGGAATTGCAGTCAAATTTCTACAACCTCATCGACTTTGAAAAGGCAGCGTTTATAGCAAAGTAATTTGGAAACTACTTCAACGCTATGGAGTGCTGTAGCCTATATCAACTTAATTCAGCAGCCATATGATTACGTCATATGTAAATTGATCCAAAATGGATAACTCAGAGAAGCCTTTGAAGTGAATATATGCAACCTATTTTGTTAATATTTACATCGAAAGAGTTCGAAATGATGAATGTTAAAATATCAGATAATCCCACTGCTAATATCAAAAAAACCAAAAATGTAAGTGAACGATCTTGGCAATATCACCAGCATTGTTGAGGACCGTGGCCATGCAGCCTGTACTTTTTTATGTGATCAGAAAAACGACTTTATGAAGTGTTGTCACATATAACTCTGTTTATCCCTAACTCTTTTCTCGTCTAAATCTGTGTCAGCTAACATTGTTGGACGAGGAAGAGATTAACTTGGGATGCATAAAAGATGTTCTGGCCGTCTGAATCAGTTCAGCTGAACAGTCTCATCGATTTACTTAACATCCTACACCAGAATCTCATTAATAATGACAATATTGTGCCAATTAACACGAGATATATTACTCAGATGTCTATAGTTAAAGAACACTAGCCTACTCAAGTCATCCACTTTCAGCACTTATGTTCTACAGTTATGAAGAAAGGTGGGTTACAAATTATTCAAAGTTTACGCAGAAAGATAGATGGCTTACCTGTATTCATCTTTTATTTGACCAGGATGTCCTGATGAATATGCTCCAAATGACTTTTTAATTTGATAAATTTCATCAAATGATCGACATTTGTTTTGTAGAAATGATTTTGGTATTTTATTTCTAGTATAATCTGTGATATTTTGAAAAGAATTAGATGAATTAACCATTTGAAAATTAGGGTAATTCTGTCTGAAGTTTTGTTTATCTGTACATTCGATAACTTCATCATCTTCGTCATTATTGTCACTATTGTCATTGTTATTATTGCAATCTTTATCAGTCTCCCCATTCAAGTGTTCCGTAGGCAGTATTTTGTTTAAACTGAGTGTTTTAGAATGTAATTCATTAGATTTTTGAATATGATTCGAATATAAATTAAGTGAATTCTGTTTGACGAGAAAAGGTCTCCTTGTCTGTGAGTCAATGGTCTTTTTACCAAACATCTTTTCTTTATCTTGTTCAATGTATTTATTAATTAAATCTTCCGGATTCGTCGAATTTACTACCGCTTTTAACTTCATATCTTTTTCTGTTAGCTGTTTGTCACTTTTAACACTAGAATTTTCATCTTTATTTTCAAATGATACAGTACTATTTGGGTTCTTTAATGATGTATGCATTTCCTTTGATGTTTGTTGTGATTTTATACTGCCATTATCAGAGTGTTCATCAAAATCCATACACTTATCATTAGAAATAGTAATTGCAGGGATAAGTTCCATTGAGGACTGAAACCAAGGGAACCGGAAAGGAGGATTAAGGTGTGATAAGTTATCAGGAAGAAAATTAACCTTATAAAAATCAGATTTGGTGTTTGTACATTTCACTGATTTAAAAATGTACAGTGAAATTTGAATATATATACGATTTAGATATGATGGAGAAGATTTGAAGCTCAGGTGGTTGATTTTATTGCAGTTGTGTGTTCTCTGAGCTGGATGGCTTTATTTGCGATTTAGATCTTTAACCTACTCATGAGTAGTTTGTGTGATAAAGTAGATAAAGTGAAGCCTGCCTAAGTGTGGACTGGAGAAAGGAATGAGTTATATGACCTTAGTTTTGGTAGTTTTCAGCTTTCTTTCAAAAGTTTCATTCCCACTTACTACCAGATGGAGCTAAAGAACTGTGAAGATTATTAAAGGCATTTATAGAAACCATTGCTCCGAATTTCTTGTCGATTGATTTCAATGCACTGAACTGTTCAGTTTTTGTTGAAATGTCGGCACTTAGACGGCAACTTTAGGTTGATATGATATTGACTGCTAAATTGCGTCTAGCAGTGGGATTGAGAATACGTGATTCGCTCTGTTTGAGACCTGTGAACTGGAAGTACTTGCATCCATAGTGTGGTTATGTTACTACTGATAATTGAATACAATATGTATTTTTTCAAACGTTAAAGACCTAACCAATAGACCAGTAAACCACGTTAGAAATAATAATTTCAACAAATAACAACATAAAAGGCTGCTTTTAAGGCCAAGCGGCTTGGCAGACAACAGTGTAGCATTTTAGATGATAGGTGATGGACTCGATTTTCAGTTAGAAGCAGGTACTTCTGTTGAGTGATGCGGACTGACAGGAGGCGGACAAAACTGAAACCAAAATTTTAAGTCAGTGCCTGCATAGGTAGAAGTGTTTATTCCACAAATGTGAATTTTGTTGACTTTCTGGAAATTAAATATCTTCAATATACAATTTATTCAACCTTGGGCCAATCAATCAGAAAAACTTATTCTCCTCTAACCTAGCCGGACTCTAATGTGGTTAGGAGCATATAAATGTGTTTTTCCTTAATATAGGTCCGTTTCCTGTCGTTACAGTTAGATCTGGTGAGTCTCAAATAGGTGGAAAGACGCGTTCTAGATTCCACTGCTAGCTACCATAAAAAAACAACATAAATAATGACAGTAGGCTTACAACTAGAGTCAAATATACGAAAGAAAGGAAAGAAACCCTTTTCAATGCATTTTGTATCAAACTGCACTTTCGTATACTTAAGTGGTAATTCAGAATTTACAATGGTCCAGGAAATTTAAGCGATAAACTGATTAAAGCTGTAAGTTGGTTAGTGAAATGTAGATAAATTACTATGTAGACGCTTCTATAGAATGTAGAGAATTTAAAAACAGTGGAAAATTAGTGGGGATAGTGGAAGAAGTAAGGTATTTATTTGTTAGAGTATGGGAAGTTAGAGAAAGCAGAATGACTGTTTTTCTTTTCGAAAACAATATTTAACGCGTCGAAAAGACAAGGTGAAATAACACCAGAAGCTGTACAGAGTGAAGACAATAATAAACTATCCCTATTTTATATTCGGCAGTTAAAGATAAAATACCTAATTTTGCCCTTCTATGCATATTTATCACTGAGTGTTGCTATGGAGCCAGTTACATAGGCAGTACAATTATACGTGCTTGTCGTCAGATTTCCGAACACTATCCTTCATGGTTAAGCAAGGGTCAAGCAAAGTTCATTCATAATTCTACTTTATCTCATCTTTTGGATACAGAACACAAAATTGATGTTAACAGGGCTTTTAAAGGTATCTACCATATACAGACTAGTCTTCATGTATACCTAAAAAGTTCGTCTGTGCCATACCGCTGAGGCTGTTGGATTTCGCATTAAGAAGTCTAAATTATGTATCCAAAAGTAGTTGATCCAGGCACTTTCTTTACCTTGACCATCATGGTTTTAACTGGCCTTAGTTTATTGCATGAATTTCCTCAATTTTATTTGATATTCTATTTAATTTATGCATCTCTCATGAAATGTAACATCAGGGATCTTAACAAATCTCTACTATTTAAAAAAATCACCAATATTCCTAATGACGATTATCCTAGAATATTATACATAATTGTAGAGGTGGATGTGAAATTTATCAAAAAGAAAATTCTGTTCTCGAACTTTCTTTTCTCTTTGAAATGCCAGACTTTCCAGCAGTTCGCTTAAATAAAGTGGTTTCTTTGAGTTTTTGAGAGCGGGAATTTGCCACATAGCCAAAGGATTTGAGGTCCAATGGCCTACAATATAGAGACATTGTGGTTCAGTGTTACCGGCAACAGACCTAATTTCATGACGAAATCTTTATTGAAGTTAACTTAATCATTGCAAACTCAACGTCTTGACCGAAGTAACCATAGTTTCCTTTGTATATTGACTATTTTGAAAGCCTGACTAGTTTTCACTGCCTCTCCCGTGTCAATTAGGTGTCTGGTAGCAAAGAGGATTTCTCAAGTGTGATTGTCACACACCTAAATAAAAAGGAACATACGGTGGAACTTCGTTAAGCTTTCAAAACAATCAGTATTCAAAGAAAATTATGGTTACTTCAGTTCTCAGATGAGGCCATAACTATCAAAAGACTTTGACCCAAAATATGTATGCAGGAAGACATAGCGACTAATCTCTCACTTATCTGGTATCTGTAATCGTTCTCTTCGCATGCTTTTGTGTTTAGTTTTCTGGGTAGCATTCGAATTAATTTTGATTTCAGTTTTCACTTACTGATTGGTTACGGGATTTCATCGCGAGCTAACAACGGTTAGAGAACTATTGGAATACCTGGGAGTAATGGACGGCTGTTTTGCCCCAGTTTGGGACTCTCCATCGGTACGCACCCACCAGGGTTCAAACCCAGGACCTTCTGGTTACAAGGCCTGCTCGTAGACCACTAAGCCACTGGGACCCGATCCAGTGAACAGCCCATGGATTCCAGATTCTCCCACTTCACGACAGAAGTGGGAAGTCATGACCAGTAGAGTGCAGCAGGTTGAATGTGAGGACAAATACTCGCCAAAGACATTGACTAGTGTTGGCGCTATATCGTGAGTTGGCGGAAGTTAGAATTCATGGACTGGCCAGTGGATCGGGTCCCAATAGCTTGGTGGTCTACGAGCACGCCTTGTAACCAGAAGGTCCTGGATTCGAACCTCGCAGTCTGGGTGCGTACTGATGAAGAGTCCCGGGCTATGCTGACGAAACAGCTATCCAGTACTCCCAGTCTGCTTTCCAATGTTCCTGTAATTGATGTAAGCTCATGATGAAATCCTTTAACAGATCAATGAAATCCCTACAAACTAATACTCGAAAATTTCACCTACTGAGTTGAACTCACTATTATTCTGCATATCTACTTAACTCTTTCGTCTATTTCATAATTTTATTTTACTAGTTACTCACTCCCACCCTTTTAAATTCTGTATGATAATATGCATAAATTCACTCTGTTGTTCGATCTTGTATTCTGCCTCTAGTCAATCCTTATTTCCAAGTGAAATATGAACTCTACTATCAAATAGTTAGTCTTTAACACTGAGTAATTCATTTAATTACATCATAATTTTTTTAGAATTATGTTGCTTAAACTCTCTATCTATAGCTTGAAGTCACTGTGAAGAAGTATGCTTAAATATTTTGTAACTAATAATTTCTTTCTTTTTAAGATGTATACTGCTGGAGGGAATCCTTGAAATGAGACACGTACGTATTATCCTCAATTATGTTCGTTATTTCTTTGTTCAGTCTAAAAATCTGCAATACCGGATCACCCACAGTCATTCACAATGAGATGTAGTCATGTATGAACAGATTCTCAACATGTTTCGATGTAAATTAAACAACACAAGCATTAAAAGTAGGTGAGATGATTAGCAACAGAACTGAATAGACATATGACATGAAAAGAGTGGTAGTTAATTGCACTCATATTTGTTGTTTTCTAAATGGTACACCATTTATGTTTGTTAGGTGTTTTTTTAATTTAAATTCTGTCAAAATTATCCTGAATTGAATTATTAAAAGTGGTTATGAAAAAAATTACTGATTTATCGACACTTTGTTTCAGACGATAACTTACTGTTGGGTCGAAACCTGCTCTTAGATTGAAGGATAACTCTTCAGATAGGGCCAAAGCGAATTGTTTTTGAAATTGTGGATATTGTTCAAATATCTCTTGTAATTCATGATCTAATGCTATACATTGTAATTCACAGTATGTTAATGATTTTACATTATAGGCTGAAAAACCCAAAGTTGGTAAATCATCCATATCACTGCCGAATATATCACATTTACCTGATGATATTTTACGGGGAAAATAAAAGAAAGAAGAATGAGAAACAAATCAGGAATGTTCATGTGAACTTTATTCATAGAATTTAAGATGCTTTCGAGCGTACAAAGTCAACAGAAATGATGAACTTTAAAATCGTGTTAATTATACTTTTTGAAGAGCATATCTGTAAGGCAATAGAATGTAATGGATGGCATCATTTATGAAATATCTTGATGTTCTTGTTGTGGTGTGGCAGATGATAGGTTGTATTTCAGGTGGGAATTCACTACGGTTTGGAAAAAATTTTAATCACAATATCAGAACTACTGGATGCTATTAATGGCAAACGAGGTAGCATAACAGCGCAAACTAGTGACTAGTATGATTAGCTGGGATTCATTCACGTCTAGTAGTAGTGCTTGCTAGGCACAGCGAAGTTATTTAAACAAAACGGAAGGCTGCTTAGCCCAAGTGAGACCAGTATCATCAACTGTTATCTAGTCACATTTAACTCAGAAGAGCGAATTACTTCCAGACATCTGGATCGTAGCCCATCATTCATTTATGCAGTTCAAATCAATATATATTGTTTTCAGTAGTGCTCAGTAATTTTTTAGTCACACGCAAATTTTAATTAAGACACAGTACCTTTAGATGAACCTGAAGTTTAAAATCTGTCACAGTAATATTCAGATTGGACACTAGCGCCATGCGTCTAGTCCTTTGTTTGTATAGACTGAATTCTACCACTCAGGTTTTCAGTGTGACCACAATGCCAGGCGACTAGCAATCACAACACACTCTTAATTGCTATTAGATGGTTGTAAGCAGTCAACAGGAAGCCTTGGACCTATTTTTCAAGCTTGTTTGTAGTCATCAACAAAGCGTACCTGCACTCATGAAGGAACTTATATCCCTTCTGAGATGTGAACCCTGGCCAATCACTGCAGCAATCAGAGGCATTACCACTGGTTTATTCGGGCTTTAGTGGATACTTCGATAGGATATTTAGTAGTAACTCCCGATTGCATCCAAACACCTAACAACAATATAATAAAATCCCTTAAGTGACATAATTTATGTATAACTGGAAGGAGGAAATTCCAACTGTTAGAAAGTTAATAGTCGAGTTGATGTGTTTTATTTCACAAATCGCCTCAGATCAAAATTCAGTATCAGTACACACTAAGCACCATGAGGCTTAAAATGATCCTTTGACTTCAGCTATTTTGGTATGTCGATTAGTCCTCAAGACTTTCATGAAATGTATCCCTTTGAAATGATTTATAGATGAAATATACTTCGTCCTTTAATTTTTTCAGTTCTCTTAATCCATCTTTGGTGTTTAAAATGTCTGCATTAATAATAAGGCAGTTATTAATGGCAGCTGAATGGATAGCGCCATCTGAAACTGTAACTCTGACATATACCCGTTGGCTAACATAATTGCATCACCATACAAGCATGATGCTATTCGAAACCTTTCAGTAATTCCTCATGTGCATTGACGAATTAAGCCTGATGATTCTAATTAAAACATTCGAAAAAACAAGTAGTTATCCTCCACACAAAAAACTTGGAGGATCTGGTCTGATTTCCCACAAACTGGAAGATATACAAGCGAAAAGCAACAAGTTGGCAGAAGAAGCATCAAAAATAGGACTTCCCTCAGGTGAACATAGAGAAAACAGAGGTGATGAAGATTCCTGGGCAGCACCACCAACAGCAACAACAACAACAGACAACAATCGGCATAAATGGATGGAACTTGAAAGAAACAACCTCTTTTACCTACCTGGGAAGCATCGTTTTAACTACAGGCGGAACTGACGAGGATATCAAAGCAAGAATCGGAAAAGCAAGACAAGCTTTCACTACTCTCAAGTCTGTGTGGAGGTCAACAACACTCAGCATCAAAAATAAGATCCGGATTTTCAACTCCAATGTGAAGTCAGTGCTACTATACACATGGACCAGAGACTTGGCGCGTCATAAAGAGAATCTCAAACAAACTACAGACCTTCATTAACAGTTGTCTTCGCTCAATACTCAAGATCAGATGGCCAGAAAAGATCAGCAACAGAGATCTCTGGCAATGAGCGAACCAACCAGGAACCGATTGTGAAACAAATAGGCAGAAGGAAATGGAGATGGATTGGCTGGCCATACTCTTAGGAAACCATCAAGTGACATCACTAGACAAGCCTTTGCTCGAGTGGAACCCGAACGGGAAGCGGCGAGTTGGTCCTCAGTGCAAGGGTGACTTGGAGGAGGTCATGTGAAGAGGAGATGAAAACGTGTGAGCAGACTTGGAGCCATGTGAAGACTCTAGCAGAGAACCGAACGCAATGGAGACGCACGGCTGAAGCCCTATGTTTCTCTAGGAATTAAAGGAAGCCATAATATTAATATAATGACTAATAGCTACAATCGCAATTATATGTGTCAAAAATGTACAGTAGTCCATTGTTGAGTAATAGGGGGTGACATATTTGATATGATTACTTGGAAGTGGCTTCAAAAGTAAAATAAAGTAAATAAAGAAAGCATTAGAAATTCAATAAGATTAAAATTGTTATTAAGTGAGAAGAATTGTAAATGAGTGTTCATTTAACAAGTGTGAAGAGGGTGATATAATGTACACAAGGACCGTGTGAGAGTGATAACAGTGAATTAATTACTAAAGTAAAAGCAAAGTAATCATTAAAAATAAAGAAAATTTACAGGGAACGACCATTGAAGAGATTAAGACCATGGTGGAATAAGAGACTGGACGAAAGTTTTCTATATACAGAGTTTGGGGTTGTGTGGAAGAATCACCAACTCCTCTGCCAAACACAAATGCCGAAAGCTAACGCCTTTTGTACCATTTGGTCTCACCTTGTAGATAATTTTGAAAGATGACACTGGTGGACTTGCGTGGCTTTAGAATTAAGTCAGTAACTGTCTTGTATTGTCCTCTTTAACCATGCAAGATAATGTTCAGAGATGCGTTTGGTAAGTGTGCGCTTTGTGTGCATCCCTCCCCTGCGTATCACTCATCAATGGACTACTATGCCTTTTTGGTAAATATAAATACGACTATATGGCCTCTGAAGATGATTTCGTCGATAAGGAGGATTTTCTTCACTGAATTGTCTTTTATTTTCTTCATGACTCAATGAGTATTTTAGGTAATAATCACAATTTGACATGAACGAATCAATATCCTAAATACTAGTAGTACTTATAAGTAGCTGAATTAGTCGGTGAAAATGTAGTGAGAGTGAGAGGAATGTCATATATTTTCATGATTAATAGTTTGTTTCCGCACCACTGATTAAGTTGACTAAGTTGTTACAAAATTGACAAATCTAACAGGTTGTCATAAACTCTTTGTAAATTAGAAATAACTACAGTATCTGTATCTATAAATTTGTTAAATAAGCCAGTGATCAGTTATTCTTTTGTTTAAGAAATATAACAATTTATTTCTGAATTACGAGAAGTTATTTCAGTCAATGTGCGTAGATGGTATAGCGTTAGAATGCTAACCGACCACGCATGTGGTGCGGAGTTCGGTCCCCAGCCGACGCACTCCTAAACCTCGCTAGGCCAATAATAAGACTCGTAAAGAGGGAATGTTCGCATAAGACTAGAAACTACATCCTGTGAAAATAAACACCACTGTTACCGAAACTTCAAGCCTCTAGCTTGAAGCCCTATGTTACACCAGGAACGTATAGGAATAAAAATTAAAAAAATTAATTCAGTCGGTGAAGAAATAATACTTTCCAACTACTACTTGATATTCAAGATGTATTGCTGTAGTCATATTATGTAGGGAAGGCAGTTAGTTGCACTGAAATAGCTCATTTAATACTTATGCATGATAAAAACAACTGTAATATTGTGATTTGAATAATTTGGGTTTCCAAAGGGAACTGTGGTGGAACAGTCATCTCTAACTGCATGAATCAAGAATTAATTAAATCAATCTGAAAATTGAAAATTCGATTTATGGTCTCAACTGTTTGTCCAATTAGCTAACCAGGAATCTGGTGGTTCAAAGTGATTCGCCCTTCTCATATGAGTCAAAGCCCTGACTAACTCGGCTCCAAACTGGTAAAGCTTCAGGTGTTGAAATCCCTTCCATATGGCTGACTAGTAAGCACTGCTGATTTTTGTGAGTGGTATACGACTACTCATCTCAGTCTGTCAGTCAGTAGTACATAGTTTTATGCATTTAAGCTTGCTTTCTTGATCACCGTTTACGCTGTCAAGCTGATCACATACCGTGACTTGAATAATCTGGGTTTCCAATGGAAACTATAGTGAAATAATCACCTGGGAATGTGTAAACTGAGGATTAATTCGCAAATTTGCGAGTATGATTTAAGATGATTACTGAATTGTGAGTGGACGAAATGTAGAGAGGGTTATTGAAGGGGGGGGAGGCCTATTAAAAGACACAAATAAAGTACACTGCTCTCGAAAAGTTAAAACAAATTTAATGGTGATAATACTGACAATGAAAATAATAAGAATATAGAAGATAAAGTGAGGTGGGATGTAATTAACCAGGAACATAATAATAATAATTATTATTATAAGTAGTGGGTTTCGTAAAAGCTTCTGAATACCAAGTCTAGCAAGTGCTTCAGGTGGACAGGAGTGATGAGTGTGACAACTTCTGGAGTGGTTCAATTTAGCTTTGTGGATAAATTCTATATACAAAACATGGGAAACTAAGTCACTGGGCCCAGCAACATATTTAAAGATTGATTTTATCACCTCATTTTTAAATTTTGTTAAGCAAACCTGATAGTATCCATCTATGTGTTTCTGTGCAAATCGCTGACAACGTACATCGTAATCATTTGCACAGGGGCATATGAATAAGTCACTACACGTAGAGGTGAACACAAGATATTTCATTTTTTGCCATACTAGGTGACATGAAAAGATAGTCAATATAGTGTCTATACTGGATTTTAGAAGCTTTATGTATCTATATATATTTATGTTCAAACAGTATATTTCTTTATACGTCACAAGTTTTATTGTAAAATAACGTTAAAAATTGTCTGGAATTGACAGATATCCCAGTCCTACTAGGATAATGCTTTTATTTTATTGCATATAGCTAAATTGTAAACAAAAATTTTCCCTCAGGGAGTTTGAAGGGAAGAGAGCAAGTAAATGTTTGCCTATTGTCTCACATTTTGTTTGGGAACAAACAAAACAGGAACCAATCGCCCAACAAATATGCAGGAGAAAGTGGAGATGGATTGGCCACTCGCTGAGGAGGCCGTTGGGTGACATCGCGCGTCAGGCCAACGCTCGAGTGGAACCCGAAAGGGAAGTGGCGAGTGGGACGTCCAAGGGTGACATGGAGGAGATCGTGTGAACAGGAACTGAAATAGTATGGATTAACATGGATGCAAGTGAAAAGTACAGCACAAGACAGAAGCAAGTGGAGGCGTGCAGTTGAAGCCCTATGTTCCACTAGGAACCCAAGGGAACAATAATAATAATCACATTACACCTTATTATTGGCTATCAGCTTTAAGAAAGAAAAACACCAGAAAACAATCATAGATCTAAGCATGTTAGACTTGTACAGAATTCATTCTGCAATAAAAACTTTACTACTGGATTTCATACTTGTTTGGTCACATCGGTAAAGAACATTTGCAGCCCTATATTACACCACTTGGATCATTACTACACTGTCCTTATGTTGGATGACTAGCTACGTCGTATACTTTATCAAGAAATGTTTGAGAAGAAACTTATGGCTAGACACTCATGGTGGTCATCGTTTGGCAGCAGATTTACTGACACAATCAGATGTAGTAAGTAAATGAGAGATGGACTTTGATGATTCTAGACAAAAGGTCGCATTGGCAGCTTAAAATACATCAAGGAATCAAAGCGGTTTACAGGTAGGTTCTAGGTAATGTCTTCAAAATCACAGTTTACCTACCATGTATCTTGTGATGAAAGGTTTTGAAGCTCACAGAGATAACAAGGCAGTTAAGGAATTATTAGGAATATAGGTACTGGGAATAACAGTTGGCTGAGGCAACGCGGAAAAGAAAGACAACCCCTTCAAGTAGGTTGCTGATATTTTTCATTAATTACTACAGGTTTTATGATTCCAAACCATCAGTATTTGATGAAAAACTATGAAGTCAGTGGATCTAAATAATATCTGAAGTTCGTCACACTTGTAAAGTTTTAATCGTTTATAACTGACTGAACAGTAAACAATTAGGATTATTTATCATAATAAGAACTGTTAGACTTAAGCGCTGTCATATATCTCGTTATCAAACACTTGTAGGTCACAACTTTTTCTAATCTTGTGTATATTCTAGCCACCTTCGAGTTTAATACAATAAGGGGTGCGAAACTTTGAGGTACATTGAGTATCTCAGTTGAGTGGATTTTGATTTTCCCTTTGATTGACTGAACCTAAATGGTCAGCCTCTACTGAAATACGGCTCCTTGTACAGATGCTTCGACGATGTCTGAGAATTAACTTTAAGTCATTCCAAAAGTGAATTTTAATAAAAATGACTGATGCGCCTTGTACAGGAGGTGGCTGTCGTGGCAGAAGGGGTCTTTTGGATAACGCTTTGATGTTTAAAATGACTGGTGCTCCATTTGAGTCTCACTGGGGACACAATCGAACCTTGTCTCAAATAGGAAGATTGCTCATTCTGGATTCCACTGCTGGTCGCTAGCCACTAAGTTATTATTACTATTCCCTGGGGTTCCTAGTGGAAGCTATGGCTTCAAAATCACGTCTGCATTTTCTCCTGTCCTCTACGATCTTTTTCAGTTGACCCCACGACTACCCATAAACTTTCATCTCCTCCTTACACGGTTCCAAGTAATTCACAACCGAAAAGTCAGCGATGCCCTTGAAGTGAATGCAGGAGTAAGACAAGGCTTTCTGCTGTCACTGATGATATTCCTAAATGTGGTGGAGTGGATAATGTGGAAGACCACAGGAAGCGGGAAGTCAGCAATACGTTGGACCGATAAGAAGATTCTGAACTGAACTTTGCAGACGACTTATGTCAAATGTGCCACAAACTCAGAGATATACAGGCGAAGACCAACAAACTGTCAGGAAAGCCTAGCAGCAAATATATGACTTCAAGTAGACACAGTGAAGATAGAGGTGATGAAAATAATCAGCTAACAACAAGAAGAACGAGGAACAATCAACATCAACGGAAAAAATTCGGAAAAGGTCACTTCTTTCACCTTTCTGGGCAGAATCGTTTTAATTGCTAGCGACAAAATGGATGGGGACGTCAAAATCAGGATATGGGGGGCAAGGCAGACCTTCGACACTCTTAAATCAGTTTGGAAATCTTCTGCACTCAGGGTAAAGAACAACATTCCGATTTTCAGCTCTACTGTTAAGTTAGTTCTTATTCATGGTCCTGAAACTTGGCGCAAGCGTTACATAAAGCTTTTCCAATAGTTTACAGGCTTTCATCAACAGCCACCTTCTCTGGCTCCATACTGAAGAACAGAGTCATCAGATTACACTGAGTACATTTCATTAATAATATATTTATAAGATGGTAGAGAACTAGGCAGAAATAAAGAAATACTTACCCAACAGTCCGACAACTGTACCTTCTTCACCTAATATCTCCAATGAACCGCTGCATACAAAATATATAAACCTCAGTACATCGCCTTGATTAACAACATATTCACCAGGTGTAGCAAACCGAGTTGTTATCAATTGGGCTAAAGATTTTCGACAACCAGGACTTGCACTTTTAAACAGACTTAATGATAATATTTCACGATTCAAGTGTAAAGCAATATCACCACGAAGATTTTCAGGGAATGAATGCATTATCTTTGATGTATCATTTTTTAAAAAGAAATGGAAAATCAGAAATGAATGACATAGGAAACATTACGATCAGCGATACGAAAAACCAAAAACAACCTATCACATCAAGTTGAAATATTGATAAAACCATAATTTATTCACTGTTGAATGACACAGATTTCTTAAGAATAGGATTTCATTCTTTGTACTAGACTGTATCCTTCATAAAGCCTTAAATGGACAGGATGTTTGTCAAGTAAATACGTGTGGATACAGCAGGACTTATGTTATGATTCATTGTGTTACGTAACCTGCAAACCAGATATGTGATGCAGACGTAGATTAAAATTAAGATCAGTGGATTTTCACTGGTAAATATTCTATCTTTAGCTCAAGCAGTAACAATCAACTCGAGTAGACCCGGTCTCTTAATGTATGCGTGAAACTTGGGCACTGTGGTAGTGAGTAATTCCATAATAGTTTGTTTATTAGATGTATCACACAGCGAAACAGTATTATTTACTGGGTGACGTTTCAAATACAATGTGCGTCAGTGGCACAGTGGTTAGGACTCTCGCCGACCATGCACATGGTCCGGGGTTCGATCCCTTGCCGACGCACATTCGATATCTATGGTCGGCCTGCAAAATTTGGGCTACCGACATCCATGCTGAAAATTTCATACTTGTACTGAAAATACGGTGTGGCATCAAGCTGCAATCAAAAATATTCAAAAAAAATATTGTGGTTCATAAACATATCAATTATAATCACATGACCCCGAAACTTGAGCTTCATAGCTTTCTTTGTTCTCTCCTATTTATCCTAGGGGTAGTAAAATTTTCCAGATATCCACCTGGGCAGATGCTGAATCATTCCTAATGCAGTCGTTTGCAGTAGATTCGATAAACAAAGCTTCCGTTGTCAACCTCTGCCTCCACTCTGTTACATTAGATTTTAAAACTGTCATCCTATCCCATCCTATTGTATGGTTGTGTTTAATTGCACGTAGCGCTATAACTGACCTATTCTCCAGACGTTTTATCTTATTAGGGTGAACTAATCTAGATTTCGGTAGGTTTTTGTGCTCCGCTAGTCTGACTGACTGAGTGACCCCGTTCTACTACTTTGACCTATGTATTTGACCTGACAGTCGTTGCAGGGTATAAGATAAACTAAATCGTTTTGTTTAAATGGCCCTACGGGATCCTTTAATTTACAAAGCTTATTTCTGTGTAATGTGTCTAGTCCTACCTTCGGTGCAGACTGTATGTTAGTTATAACAACAGAGACAAGTACGTCCTACGTAAAAGTAATGTAAATTTGTGTGTGACTACTGGTAAGCTTCTGTGGAATAGATATCCTTTATTCAGAGTTCAATTCATGGACTCAGTTTTTATCCGATGTCATAAAAGTTGACTTTACTGTCAACAAAAGTCATACTATTGCCTACTAAGACATAAAAGGATGATAGGATATTACGTAACTTCTGTGTTGCACTTAATTTTCGCGTCTTACTTCGCCTCATTATGAATTAAGAAATGAGCATTAACTTAGAATGCGGTTCTAGCACGTTTTGATGAGCTATGTCTATGATCGCATTGTTCTAGAGGAACTCAATAGCCATAATATACTTCATTACTTTTACATGAAGTTATTAAGAAAGGAATGGTTTTCCTGCCTTTAAGAAGACGGTTGACAGTTACAACTTTTTAGATTCTGGGTTTTTGTAGGGATTTGGATTAGTTTCAGTGCAGATTTCGTCACGAACTGAAATCAGTTGAAGATCACTGGCCAGCTCTTCCGTCCTAGTTTGACGGTGCCCGGTAGTGCACAACCATGACGCACTATGTATTCAACCAGAGACCTTCATATTATGAGACTGGGCCTTTTGAACATTCTGCTTCTCAGGCTGGAATTGAATGAGCGATGTACTGCTACCTTCAGTCAATGCCTTCACTTTGGCATGACAATTTATAACAAGTTCATATATCACTAAGATACCTTCGCATTATCAATATTCTTATCTGTATTGAATTTTAACGGAGGACAAAAGGAATATCTCAAGTTTAAAATTTAACTTACAGCTTCCTTATCAATCCCCCGGTTAATTGCCCACATAGCTTGGAAGAACTCTAGCATACGTTGTTTCAATGGTTTCGGTATATGATGCGCACGTGTAAAGTCTTTCAGATCTTGATTTTTTGTCTGATATGCTGAACGTCTAGAATACATCCGCTGGATAAGAGTAGTTACATTGCCAAATACTGCAGCATGCATAAGAGCTGGTAAGCAGAAAGAATAAAAGACGATTTTAGAAACGAAGTAAGGTTATATATAACGAGGAAGACAGAAACTGATATTTATTAGTTACTTATCGTCTTACTCATCTCTTGTTTTTATCACTTAACTCCCTTACCATTGTATGCAAACATTTATTTTTGTGCAAACTTGACCTCTTTGGGTTTAAACTATATGAGTACAATTTTCTGAGCACTGTTTATTAAGTTTGAAGCCTCCTGACAATTGACATCATGGAAGATTTGCAGATATGTAAGAATTGTTCTTTACATAAACTTAATAATTTCTTTAGGCTGTATGCGGCTGGTGAGAAGACAACGAAAAAACAGTGACGATATCATCTTATTCCGCATAAACTCTTATTCTTGGTTTATTCATATTGATAAAGGGTAATAAGCGTATGAAAATTCTAGAAGTTGTATTTCTGTAGGGTAACAGATAAGTTGGTGAAAGCCTTTAGATGCCGAATAGTTCAAATAGCAGAGGCTGTTGTAATCCATTTAAAACAGCCGGCGTCCTGTGTGCAAAAAACAGTTCCAGCCACTATTGATTCCCTGGTTTGTTGCAGTATCTATAAATCCATGAATACTGTATTACATCGGCCTTTAAATGTATAATATTCCTTCCTCTATACATATAAATTCCCCAAATACTTTTTATTGGACTTGCATAAACAAACCATTTGTATTCTTATTTAAACTTGGTCATTAGCGCACTCATTAGCACAAACATACCCACATAAGTTGCTGCCCACTTTCCATCCCTAATTTTGATATTATCATTTATCCATATGAAATGTATAGTCATTTTGGATAAAATATGTATCTACCAATTTACTTGCTTATGTGAAGCGAGATATATAAGTCGTTCGATACGTGTTTTCTCTCGAAGAGTGAAGGAACATTATCCAGCTTGGCTACGAAAAGGTAACAGTGGATCAATAAAGAGTTCTATAATTGAACATATCGTCAACACTGATCACCCAGTATGTACGGGGAATTCATTCAAACTCATTTACAAAGTCAAAAGAAGCCTACAGAAGACTTCCACTTACTTTGCATTACCTAAGAGGCTTTAGCGATCCGTATAGAAAATCCTTTTTTATGTACACAGAAGAAACTTCTACACGCCCTCCTTCTACCTTGGATGTAATTTTAAGTTATACTACCTCGTTAATAAGGTTCTTTGAATGTTTGTATGACTTTTTAGCAACATCTTTTTCCTAACCAACCCTTTATTCTCTGTCTCTATCTACTACATAATTTATTCTGGACACTTATATCCATGCTCCTTCATTAAGATCTTATTTTTCAGGGTGTCTTTCATATTACGCAACCCTCGTCAATATTTACCAATCTTCAGCCTACCCCCTAGTTACAATTTGATTATTCATCACATTTTTGAAACATTCTGATGACGTAAACAATAACCCCATCAAATTTTTATATTTGTTTGATAGTCCTAATGTACACAGAAAATAATTATATATATAAATGTGACTGCACAGCTAAGTGAATGAATTAGCCGAAAAGAGACTCTTTGCTGAAAACTGTTTTTCTTATATGCATGTCTGGATCGGTATTTTCCATGAATAGAATTCAGCATTAACACTAGCCTTGAGCACTATTCACTATACATTAGGTGTTGCCCATGATCATTTACTTTGGAATACTGGTGATCAGTTTAGTACTACATTTATGCGTGTTATCACATACACATGTTTTGAGCTATAATCTACTAACAGTCTATTCGTATATAACTCTTGGGATTTTAATACCAATGATTTTATTTTATTTTAAAAATACATAAATATTGTCAATAACAATGTTTCTTCAGTTATTGTAGATATATATAACTGCAGAACTTGATAAAGACGAATTTATCGTAAAGAATATTCTTTGTTCCATGAGTAGTCTTTTGAAAAATTGAAAATAGGCTTCCTTGTTGTATAATAACACTCAAGGAATAGAACTTTCCATCCATTTTTGTTCTTTTTCAGTCAATTAATTGTCTGCTTATCTAATCCCATCTAATGAAGTTTAAATTACCTGTCAATCAATATTTGATAATGCTTGATAATTTCTTTAGCAATGACAATGATTCTACGGATAAATTAACTGCTCCCAACTGGCATACTATTTGTACTGTTGGACTATGATTATATATACTTATATATAGGTGAGAAGGCCTGAGGAGGAAAGTTCAGCTTGATCAGCAGTTTAATCATTTTTAAGGTAAAAGAAAATTTTTTTTCGCATACTGAGTTAGTTGTGAGGAGTTTCAACATAGATTTATTTTTTTTATTTGATTGAGTTATACTCTACCACAATGCTCAAATTCTATTCTTAAATGCTTAGTTAGGTATAAGCGATGTCCTAAAAAATGTTTTGTGCGTTTCAAATAAATTCTGGGCGAAGAGTCTCTGGTAAGTAGTTCAAGAGAATAAAGGGTCACACATAGAAGTAGGTTTAAAAAAATCGCATCTTGTAATCTTAAGCCGACGAGCGATAAGCACTGATGTTTGATATGCGTGACGTTAACATAAGCAGCCGGATGTTTCAGGGAAGGCAAAGGAGGGATACAGATGTCCTTGTGGTATTATAGTTACCAAGAATTACTTCCCCGGGCCTACTATTTATGAAGCCATTTAGATACAGGATGTTGTGCCCAAAAATGGGAAAGTAAAACTGTTAATTTGTGAAACGTTATTGAATACCATTTGGCCTTAGTCAATAGTATTTCCATTGTTCAATATAAGTAAAGAGTTTTCATTTGGTGTTGAAGGTTGACTGGAATATTGTAACTTTGTACATAGCTTATCAAGCCAGTTGTTTTTCCTTTTTCATTCTGCGTCTTCCTAGTGAAACATAGGGCTTCTGGAACAAGGCCTGAAACTTTCAGTAGCCGTGTTCTATTTTTTACAAGGTGGATTCGCTGCTGTCACTTCTGTGGTAGGTGAGGTTTAGGAATGCGTCGACCAGGAACCGAATCCCAAACAACATGCGTAGATAGAGAGTGTTCCATCACTGAACCATTTCGAATATAACTTATTAAGCCAGTTAACTTCGTAATACATAATTAACTAGACTAATGCACAGCATTTCATTCTGTCCTCCTTTATGGATGTGAGACATGGTCATTGAAGGTGAAAGATATGAAAAGACTAACCATTTTTGACCACTCATTTCTGAATTCCATCTCCCGTGTCACTCTGTATAATATGGTGATTAATATTGAGGTTAGGCGTACAGGGCTAGGTAAAGTGAAGAGGCCGTCGATCAAGTCGTGGAGCTACATCGATTAAGATGGCTGGGACACAGTTGCGCATCTGGAGTCACCGTCTTCCACGACCATCAATGTTAACAGACAATGAACTGAGCTGGAAAAGGGCTAGAAATGGTCAAATTAGAAACCTGGTATCGATCCATGCAGTCATTTACTGTTGGTTTAAACCACAAAAATGGATTCAGGTTGTCTGAGTGGGACTATTTTTATTTTTTTATTTTGATTTACAGCTTGATTTCACACCGTATTTTCAGTACAAGTGTGGAATTTTTAGCATGGATATCGGTAGCCCAAATTCAGGCCGACCATAGATATCGGGTGTGCGTCGGCAGGGGATCGAACCCCGGACCATGTGCATGGTCGGCGAGAGTCCTAACCACTGTGCCACCGACTAGCTTGAGACTGTTGATGATATGGCTCGAAATCGTTGCCACTGGGGAATATGTATTCACTCTGTAATCTCCCATACCCTTTAGTCAGTGGTACAGTGGCAAAATACTTGCAAAGAAATACGTAATCCAGGGATCGACTCTGGTCAATGCAGTCCTAATCCTTGATAGGCTGATAGCAAGCCCACTAAGGAAAGGAGGTTGAGCGTGTGGTTATCAACCTTATCCTGTATAAGTGACACGATGCCACTGTGGTGAGAGCAAGCTGCTAGCCAATTGGTAGACATTGATCTACGCTGATTGGTAGAAATTAATCTAGGCTGATTCAACAACCGATCACAGCTGACCTAGACGTGGACAAATATGATTCGCAGACAAGTGGCTCGCATTTCCGAGAAATATCGAAAACGAGAAAGCAGAAGACTGTGTTTGTTTGCAAACAACCAATCAGAAGACCGCCTTCTTTCTGCGGGCAGAAGCCTATTAATGTACGTAAAATACATATAAATACCTGTTGGTTTTCGTAATAAAACTGATCTGTTGCCTGGCCCTTGTCTTCTGTTGTTACACCACTACTACTGAGACTTCAAAACCCACTCGGAATGCAAAGGAATAAATTAACACTAGGAATAAATAATAATTTCCCGTCTAGGCTCACTGCGTAATGCAGGTGCGTCCAGATGACGAGTCCCAAATAGGGCAAAATGTGCATCGTCGATTCCACTGCTAGTCACCATCCACCAATTAACTGCTAATAATTTCCCGTATTCACTGAAACGGCATATTTTCTCTCTACTTTACTACTGTTACGCCCTCATATATCTGCCTGCTCTCGTAATTTCGGATTTCGTTTTTTCCCTCTTTGTCTGCGTTTTATGCACTACTTGAAATGTGACAGTTTGGACTGCTCCACTTCTGTGCAGCGTTCTTTGTTGGAACTGCATCGGTTAGTCAGTTATCTGATGTTTCTTTGGGTACATTTAAAAAAATTAAAATAAGACACCTTTTCCGGATCGAGTCTGGGAAACCTACAGTGTCCTAGATAAAATATTGTGTCCAATGATCAGTGACTGACCCTTCTGATGATTGTTGGATCTGAGTGCTGACGACTTTCTGAGCTGTTGCAGAAAAAATCTGTTTTCATGTAATTTATGTTATGAACACACCTTTTTTCTTTACGTAACATTTTTCTATTATTTTTTACAAAATTGTTTAACTTAATACATCCATTGTACACGAAATATTTTGACATAATGGGATATTTACAAATGAAAAATAAACTGACGCCAGGGGATATCTGAAGTATTCTTAAAAAGGCAATTTATAATGTAAATAGTCAGTTATTATTCTATCATCCTTCTTTACATCAGATAAACGTGATCATGTGAAGTACTATCAGTCGAGTTCACTTCCATTTTTACATTTTTAGGGTAAACATGTGCATCTTGTACGAAGAAATAAAATGTCAGTGTTACCACATTTTCCATCCTAGTCGCTGAACGATCAACCGATTGGTCTCGTAACCTAAGGGCCTCAGGCTTGACTCCCAGTCGACTCATGGTTGTGTACCCCCGGAGAATCTCAAGCTAGGACAAAATAGCTGTTTGGAACTCCCTGGTTTTCGATGGTTTTCTAACTAAAATCTGTCCGTAACTAAACTTAAAATCAATCAAGACCTTGGCTACCGACGCCTGAAAAAAGTACATGTATATCCCATATATAATAATTCTTACCTCCGACAAGCATTGTTATCACAGCAAATATTTTCTCATTCACTGTATTCGGTGATACATTACCGAATCCAACGCTAGTCAAACTGGTTGTTGTAAAGTATAAACTGGAGACGTATAATGCACGTCTTGTTAGCCCATTTGTTTTATTATTATTTGGATTGTATGTAAGATTCAATTGCATTCGTTCACCTAGTTCATGAAGCCAACCTGAAGTTAAAAAAAATAATAAAATAATAACAGAAGTATAAATTTAAAACACAAATATGTAAGCAGTATACATTAGTGTGTCTGATAACTCAGTTTATGCATTGAGGTATGCCCTCAACGTATTCGACAGACGTATTCTGTTTTGTAGTATTCAGAGCATAAATATGCTGGACCTTTGGTTTTGATTTGAGGATTGGTAGCAATCAGTACATAGCCTTGGATCAAGGTTTCATGCTTATTGGCACTTGCCAGAAAGGCATAACTGCAATCCTGAAAGAATTCATAAGAAGTACTGTGAGTTGGCTTCATGTAATTTTTTATGCCTTAGTAGGAAAAGAAAATGCCATGGTGGCTAAATGGCTAATGGCCTGGCTTCATGACCTGAAGGTCCTACATACTATTTCCCACAGACTCATGAGTGTGTACTTCCGAAGAATCACAAACATTGCAAACTTGATCGATATCAGTCATAGAATCCTTGAAAACCAGTGAGTACTGGATAGTTCTTTTGTCCTAGTGTGGGACTCATCGACAGAACGCACCCACCAGGGTTCGAACCCAGGACCTTCCGGTTATTAGGCAAGCCCGAAGATTATTCAGCATGTGGGAATTGATCCAAAGGTCTGCGAATTCTAACTTTTATCATTCAATCTACACTAGACAAAGGATTAGACTCATGACACTGCTGACCACCTAATGAACAATCAAAGAATACTGGACTTTACATTTCTAGTAGTTAATTTTATATTGAAGCGTACAATGCCAAATGAAATTGTAGTTTAAATTGTATTCAGCATCTAATTTCTTGTACTGCCTAAAGTCAGGCGTTCTCCTCACATTACAAATAAGTTAGAGAAGTGAGCTTGACAAAATAAATGCATAAATTAATTCTCTTTCTTGAAAAAATTCTTAGGAATTTGGAATGAGACCAGGAGAAGAAAAACCACCAATCATATGATCTGATTAAATAGTCTGATTAAACTAACTACTATCTGATTTCATTTTTTCTGTAAAATTAAGTAAAAGCCATTTAGACTTATTGTTTTAGCTTTTGTTTTTCTTTTCTTTTACCAGGGCTTTTGACTCAAATGATGTAAATGTAATTAACTTCTTATTTTATTTACCTAAATTCTAAAATGTTAGAATTTAGGTAAGCCTAGAGAAGATGGAGGTGATGAAGATAACCAACCAACGGCAACAACAACCAGCACCAATCACCATCAACGGCGGAGATATGACAGAGAGGACCTCCTTCACTTATCTAAGAATCATCGTTTCAACTTAAGGCGGAACGGATGAAGATGTCAAAGCTAGCCAGAATCGGAAAGGCAAGATACACTTTCATCAACCTGAAACTAGTTTGGAAATATTCTGCACTCAACCAGAGTAAACAACAAGGTTCAGGTTTTCAACATAAATGTACAGTCAGTTCTTCCAAACTGGTCAGAAACTTGGCGTGTCAGGAGAAGGATTTCCAACAAGCTGGTGCAGACTTTTATCAACAACCACTTTGTTCGCTAGTTCCATACTAAAGATCAAACGGCTGACCAGAATGAATGAGTAACAAGAAACTACTGTGACAGTTCAGCCAAGAGTATGTTGCTCAACAAATATGTTGGAAAAAATGAAGATGGATCATGAATACACTGAGGAAACCGTTGAGTGACATCACGCATCAGTCAATGCTTCGAGTGGAATCCAAATGGGAAGGGGAGAGTGGGTCTTCCGAGGGTGGTGTGGAGGAGGTCGTGTAAGCTGCAGAAGGAGATGAAAGATTATAGGCAAGCATGGACCCAGCTGAAGATGACAGCATGAAATAGAAAGAAGTAGAGAAGTATTGTTGAAGCCCTATGTTCCACTCGGAACTTAAACCAGTAATAACATACATTATAATAAAGGTTTTTGTATTTCCCAGTGAATGAAAAACAAAACGATATTGTTTTTACTGACGTTTAATAGCTTTATCACAAAGATGTCCACTGGACACCAGTTAAATAATTAAGAGCTTGAAATTCTGTCTAGAAAGTAATTATTTTACATTTAAAGGGAGTTTATATAGACAGACAAATGGTGTTGCTATGGGTTCACCAGTCTCCTCAATAGTCGCCAACCTTTTCATGAATAAATTTGAAAATAACATCTTTTCAAGCATACTCACTCCTAAAATATGGTTAAGATATGTAGATGATACTTTTGCAGTACTATAACGAGATCTACACAATCTATTCCTGGAGAAAATAAACTGTGTATCTCCCAGAATCCAGTTTACTTCGGAAGCAGAATCAGACGTCGGTGAACTACCATTTCTAGACTACCTAGTTAAGAGAAGGGAAAACGGAAATTTTAGAATATCCATATTCAGGAAGAAAGCCCACTCCAATAAATATTTAGACTTCAAATCATCACACCCCATCAGCGCAAAGATTTCAGTTGATTCAAGTCTTCTTAGACGAGCACACTCTCTGATAACGGACGAGTAAGAAAAAGAAGAAGAAATATCAAACATTACTGAAACTCTCAAGCAAAACAACTACCTAAGGGACTTCATCAACAAAATCAACACAGACATTAAGTATGGCCGAAAACGTATTCCGAAAACATGGACCTCGACAGTTGTCATTCCATATAGAGCAGAGACGTCAGATGATATCAGAAGAGTACTCAATCAGCTCGATATTAGAGTTTTCTTCAAAACATCAGACACACTTCAAAGCAACCTTGTCCATATAAAAGACCAAATCCCTAAAGATTCACTATCTAATTGTGTCTATAAAATAAAATGCTTGGAATGTGATGCGATATACATTGGACAAACATCTCGAGAAATCAAGATCAGAAGAAATGAACACCGTAGAGCATCTCTTCGACCACCGAGAAATCCTGTTGAACCACAAAGACTTGAAAAATCATCAGCCATAGATCTACATGCTATAGAATCAGGCCACAAAATTGATTTTGACAATGTTGAAATAATCCAGAAAAACTTCAGAAATCACAAAGAACGTCTAATATCAGAAGCACTTCATATCAAGTGGAATCCAAATTGCCTGAATAGGAATGGTGGACTAAAACAGAATCTGACCTGCTTACAACACCTCCCTCCCCTCCCCCATGAAGTGACAAATTCAACACGAATGTTATATGCACGTTCACTATGTAAACAAACACTGCCTTTATAATTTTAAACACTTATCAAATCCAATAATCTACACTTGGTTTTGTTATCTTTGCCAACTGATCAACTTGACAACGAAAAATGCCCCCAGACTAACGAACGATGATCAAGTTAGTAAACTTTGCTTTGATACCATAACAGATATACTATTACCTTTGTTATTTAGTTTAGTGATATTCATTATTATTTTAACTTCCAATATGTCCTTTTAATTAATATCGGTAAAAAGTTTGAGCATTGTGGATTGGATCAAATAAAGTATAATTATATTTCAGTAGTTTACACACAATGATGAGTTTTGTTATTGGTAATATTTCGAGGAATATTACCAATAACAAAACTTATCCTTCCAACTTGACCTAAGCCTATTTTCTCACCCCTTGACTATTTGTTATATATATGCTGAGATTTTGTAAATTCCGGTTTAATAATACTTTAATAAAGCTATTAGCATTAAATAGCGAAACGTCAGTAAAAACAATATCGTTTTGTTTTTCATTCATTGAAAAATACAAAAGCCTTTATTATAATGAATATCATATACCCAATGCCCGAATTTTTTCAAACTGTTAAAAGTGAACCTGGTTTGGACATATATAACAGTAATAATATGGTAAAATTCTAACATTTTAGCTGAAAAGAGCCCATGTTAAGCTTAGTCAACTACTGACATTACCAGAATAAGATGACAACATGTGTACGTAGGATTATAGCGGAAACAGTTGTTTAAGAGTAAATTTTTAAGGTCAAAATTTGTTTGCCTGTAGGTAGTATACGTAGTTGACTAGTGAGACTTAAATTGAATTCAGAGTGTGTCTAGTAATCTAATTTAATGTCATTAAATATAACATTATTTAGCGTTACATGTTAGATGTTAGCAGAGAAATATAGATTACTTCGATTTCCAGTTCGTGAAAAACGTACAGTTCGACAATCTCTTGTTATTTATGAACGCAGGAAACCGATCCTTGTGTCATACTGCATAGCTGACAAAAATTCCCTCAGTTACAAACAGTCGAAAAACGCTGAAAGGATAGCAAACAGGCAACTGTTCGGGATCGTATTCTATGTATGGTTCTATCGAATAATAATAACAATAAAAAATCAGAATTACTTCGGCAGTACCGTTAGGCAGCTACACAGGTCAGATATGTTTCCAGTACAAAATAAATTGGCAGCAAAAATCTCACACCAAACAATTTTCGCACACAGTTCATGGTCAAAATCACCTTCACTCACTCAAGCAAAATCACGTCGTCAAACAACACGCTATCAGCTTCATCACACAATGACAGAGAGAAGCATTCAAATTAGAGATTAAACTGAAACAAAGACAAATAATGAGGACTTAGTCAACAAATGTTATGCAAATTTGAGGATAAGAGTATACAATCTAGGAGGAAAATGGATAATAATTGCGAAGTTAGTTGGAACGTCCGAATAAGCATCAATATTTTATTAAATCGTTGAGGAGAGATTTTCCAAACAGCTTTTCCGTTACTGTATAGGTAATGATCTACAGGACTGTGTTACTGATATATGAATAGAACTTGCGCATTGAGGTAGGGTATAACTCTATTATGAGTAAAATTTGTCTTGATAAAGTCTCATAGAGTTAAACACTAGTATTTACTGATGACCACGTTTCGAGCTCAATTTACTGCTCATAACCATATCAAGGTACTCACACAACTTTCTAACTCCGTTTATATAATTCCACTATTCTTCATCGCTCGATTTGATTGGTAGTAGTATTTTGCATATTTCCGGTATGAGTGATGAGGCATTCCTATTGCACGGGTTGGATATAGATTCTATGAACCAG